ACATGGGAAATAAAACAGGAAAATCAACAACCTTGTATTCGGTGTAGAGTTTGTAAAGGAGCAGAATGTTTGCTCCTGATGAAGAGGGACCCGTTTTGCACTCAATATCGATTGGGAGTTTGCAAGGATTGGGATACAAGGTTATCGATTTGCCCTTTAACATAATTACTTATTGAGAGATGGATGGGAAATCCTTGAATTCCATCCCTTGGAAGTCAATTAAAATGGATAGATAATCTTCGAGTATTCTTCAATAACTGAATTATTAACTAAAGTGGTACAAAATAAATAATTAAATAAAATTTAAAGTGTAATTACTAATTCGTTTTTTCCTCCCTTGTGAAAAGGTCCATGAAACAGAAGAACCTGCATTTTTCCGCAAGTCGCTTTCTTGGAAAATACGTATACGTATATATATATATTTGTATAGTCGTGCGCAAAATTAACAGAAGCAGCATATTATGTCGAATTTCTGAAAATTTGGAGAATATATTGTAATGAAATTTTTCACGAATATACATTTATTACATAGAAAGATATATACTATTCAAAAGTCATTTTATGTACGAATGATTTTCAGTAAAACACGCAGTATAGGTATGTTCAAAAAGGTATTGTCCCCTCTCACAGCTAGACAGATCCAGCAGTGAGACAGCATATTGGATAAGAGGCAGTTGAGGGTCCCTGTGGCAATCTCTCATACGCCTGCAGCAAAGCAATTTTAAACTCAGGGATGTTTCCCGGAGGGAGATGGCGAGATAAAACAGATGAAATTGCCCCCACAAGAGCGTCCCAGAGTTGCTGTATAAGATTAATGTCAGCAGAACTGATTTGTCTATCCACGTGCAAATATTCTCATTTTTCAGGTAATCTTAGATCAGCTGAGGCCTATATGGGGGAGCATTGTATTTCATTAACATGAATCCAGGGCCAACTACGCCCCTGAAAAGTCGAATATAGGGATCTAAGATCTCCTGTGAAGAAATCAGAGAGCCTTTGTGGCTGCCGTCCAACATAATGCCTCCCCAAACCATTACACCTCTACTACCGTAATGATCCTTCACCCTGATAAGGGAGGGATGGTATCTGATACAGGTACTCAGAGAATCAGTGCTCAGGTTGAATTTCGACTCATCTGTTAAAAGCACGGTGCTTCACTGGTGGTGTGGTGGTGGTGTATTTATTTATGCAAAGCACACTAGGGCTATCTGTCTAAGAGAAGGGATGCCTTCGTGGATGACTTTCTAAGGGAAACTGGCTCGTATACACGTTACACATGGGGAAAACACGAAAACGCCCATGCAGCCAGCCCGTTCGCGGGATTCGAACCAGGGACCGAACTACCAGTGTTCAGCGACTTTACCACTCGGCCGCTGGTGGGCCGGTGCTTCACTGAATGTCTGGTCAAGGAACATACCTACACCATGCTAAACGCGGTCGAATCAAACAGCGGATCGTTTGGCATACAGCTCTATCTTATGAAGCTTTCGGGCAACTGTATACCGTGATACACGGATTCCAGTGGCTTTATACAGTTCACGTGAGAGCTGTGAAACTATATACTCCTGAGTCGCCGCCTTGAAAATACCAAATAACGATTCTCATTCGTCATTGTGGATCTTGGTCTCTGTCCAGGTCTTTTCGATATGAATCCAGTGCTTCCACAAATTGCAAACGACATTGGGCATTAGATTGGGCTCTATAACGACCTGAGATTGTGATTGGCCTGAATCCGTCTCTGTCTCATTCATCATACATATGTTCGTGGTCTCTCATTTTAGTTGATACCTTAAAAATGTGCGTAACTCTTGCGAGAAACATAGCTGATACTGTGAAGGAGTATGAGCTTACAAATCGCTGAAATCACATCGTACGCTTATATCTCCTCCACCAACACAACTCCGCAGACACGTATGTGTATGCTTACGTATTCGACTTTCATAATTCCTCAACAGCATAACTGGTACCTTTGGTTGAATAACTTTCGTGAACATAGACATAAATAGAGATAAATTTATTAATGTTCTCGAGAGTCCCTCAGTTGTAAGTTTACAAAATTTTCACAATTTTTATATTATTAATAATTAAAATTCCTTTTGATAGCCCTTACATAATTCACTCATTTCCAAAATTGAATGTAAAACGATTTCTTTAAAGCTTAAAATTCAAATTTAAATCGTCTTGCAGCGTTACAAGGTGCTATGTTTGTAAGAAAGTATTTGGGTGTACATGAAACTACAGTATAAATATTTTAAAAAATAAAACTGCTAATAGAGATACTATACTACATACACAAGAGATACTGCAGGGTAAAATGAAAAGGCTCTGTTAATATTAATAAAAGATAAGTCACAAAAAAGAATACCAATAGATGGAAATGCTACGAAGTAAAAAGCAGTAAGAATTTAAAGGCAGATTAAATAAAAAGAGTCAAGCACTTCACCTCAGTTAAATAGAAAGTATGAATTTCCTAGATGTACAGTTCAGATTACAGGTTTTCTTGAAAGCCATGTTGTTTATAAAAAATTAATGGTGAAACTGCATCTGCAAATGAATCTACTGCTTAGGTATTCTCGCAAGAAGTTGCTAAAATTACTGAAGATGGAGGTTACACTCCTAATCAAGAAGAAATGCAATCATTTCTGGAAATGTAGTCTTTTTTGGAAACAAATGCCAAGTTGAACGGATATAGTCGAACAGCAATAAACTGCTCGTGGTTTCTAAGGTTGCTAAGGACTGTGTGACTTTATTATTTTTTATATTACCGTTTCAGGAAATCATATGTTGAAACCACTACTGATAAACCAAGCTCTGAATTCCTATAGGCACCTTGTTGATTGCACCTGAAAGATATGTATGTCAATAAACTGCCTGCTCAATGGATGGCAAACAAGAAGGCCTTGGAACCACTGTTATCTTTCTAGAATGGTTCAACGAATGATTCATCTTAGAAACTAGACGTTGTATGATTGTGAAAGGTCTCGAATTTCAAGTTCTGATTCTTGATAATACACCTGGCGATTCTGACTTGGAACAATAAAATTTTCTGTCATCAAATTCTACATTATTGTTACAACCACTAGAGTAACAGTTAATTAGGACAATTAAAATATGGTACTTAAAACGAACACTCCAACATGTTTGGGATAAATGGAATTATGAAATAGTAATGGTCAATGATGTGTGGAAGAAAGTTTCAGTAATGAATTGTATCAATCAATTTCGATTAATATTAACTGAATTAAAAACAGCAACTCTGAATGCATGTTGAAGGTGGTTATCCACGATATGTAAAAAATAAAGATTCCTTAATCTCTAATATGATCGAATTTTTCAGCAGCATTACAACACACCCAGAATCGATGGAAAAGAATTTCAATGATTTGTTATTTGAAGATATTGATAAATTGTTAGTCACAAGCAACGATGAAATATTGGAGTTTGTCCTTCAAAAACCTAATCTTACAGAAACAGTCATCTTGGAGAAAATGATCCAGTTCTAAATGCAGGCTTAAAAATAGAAGGTACGAAATTACCCAGAAAATTGGATAATCATTTTATCAAACATAATCTCAATCAGAAACGCATTAGGAAGTTTCAAAGTTCACTGAAGTTGTTGACAGCCTTTTATAATAAAATAAAAATAATAAAATGAAATGCTCAATACAAATTTTTAACACAGTTTGTAGTGCGTTTTTAATTTCAATGAATACAGAAAATGATAATTTTTTTCGAAGCTGCTGCCCAGCATCGCTACTGCCCAGCAAGCTGCTGCCCAGCAAAAATTAGGCATTAGCTTTTTATATATAATTTAAATCTACAAAAATATTTAAAATAGGTAAAAAATGCTATTAGTTTGCTTTTATAAAGGAGTGTTTTGGGTATTGAATGAGGCAAAAGTATTATTTGCACTGCTTTTAAATCTTAGACCTACTGAAAATGAGGGTTCCATAGAAATATACCAGAAAACGGCATAGTAAACATTTTCTTTCTTCCAAAGGATCTTTGTTTATCAAATTTTTTGTAAAAACTGTTGTTGTTTGCTTGTGCAGCTAGTTATAAACCTCTTAAAAGCATTACTACACAGATCATACTCGGATGCTTTGTCGTAAATTCAATCAATCCTTGAAAAGCGTTACATTGTTCGACGAAACAAAATTCTGAGTAAAGAAGATTTCGAACGTTTTCAGCATCTTTATTACAAATCGTAAGTAATTAAAACTTAAGTTAAAATCAAAACATGTATTTTATTTAAAAATTATCTGATATGAAAATACTCAGGATAAAACTGTTATTTGGAGTCCATTACAAATTCAGAAATTTTATCCTCCTAACTTATGATAAAAAATTCAAGATAAGCTTGACATTTATGAAATACAGTTTAAATCTTATATATTAATTTCCAAAATTTATCACATTCCTGACTTGTAAAAAAGAACTGAATTTTCATAAAATGGTAAATAATTGAGAGTAAAACTTGCTAACAGTGGTTATAAGAGTGAGAAATTTGAAGCAATTCTATAACTTGCTGCAAAATTATCCTATACTAGATTAATAAATATTCGCTTCTTATCAACATTAATTGATAAGTTTTCTTAATTATGTGCATTAGTAATTATTTTATTGAACTGAATACCCTAAATAAATTTTCAGCAGTGTACGAAAATATTGTCTTATTTGCGCTGCAGATAAAGAAGGTGAATTAACGTTGATTTTTATCACTTTTGTTTGCTTAGCCTTTTAACTAGCAAGGTTACTTTGCGAAAATGCTTTTGGCAGGTTATTCTTTAACAAGCTGTTAGTGATCAAGTATTGGTGAATAGTAATAGACCAGGAAATTTTAATTTTTTACGCCCATACTGTACTGGGCGGGGTTGCTTAATTACTTTTCAAGGAAAGAGATAGCTTGCTTCGTCCTTGTGATTATATCATTCTGGTTTCATACAATAAACATTACCTGATTTTCGATATGGAATCTATGGTATATAAACGCTTATGGTTCCTTTCGAAATCATTCGCTTCAGTGGCAGAATAGCTTAACAAACTAGAAAATGTTCGCAAAGGTAAGTATATGCATTATTCTTAATGGTTTGTTAAATTCAGTAAAACCCCATTTAGCCGAAGAAGGGAAACACTCTGGAATGATAGTCCACAGAAATATTTACTGCAAGTATAGGTACAAAATATCTAATGTAAAATTGTTAAGCAGTGGGGTAGGAATTTAAGTATTTTAAATACCTATATTCAAAGAAATTTACTTAACTACGTTATTTAAATTGCTAAATGTTTATACGAAAAACTTGTTCGTTCTAGCATTTTATGATCAGTATTTACTGAGGTAGATAATTTAACAAAATGAAATATAGCTCGAAATAACAAAGCTATGCTATTTATTATCATATTTACAATTCTACAGTGAAATATTCCCCGTCTAAATCCCCCAGCAATTAAAAAATGGTATTATAAAATCATTTTAATGTAAGAATTATACAAAATTTCTTTTTTAGACGTGTCATTTCCATTTATATCAAATAAAATAAATAAAAATCTGAAAACCTTTTTTACATTTTAATTACAATGATCATATCTAATTTATTGAAACAAAATAAAGTACTTAAATAACAAATCCGCAAGTTGAATGCTGGAAAATTTTTAAAAATGCAGCTTACTTAAATGGAAGGTAAAACAGTTATTGATAATATTTCATAAATATATTCTCTAATTCTGAAATTAATAGCATCAAAAATTCGTTTTTAGAATATTTGGGACATAAGTTTCCTTATAAAGTGAGAAAACCTGTTATGGAACATACTGTGACATTTTAAAAATGAACTGTATTTTTTAAATTTAATTACAAATCGGTTCATTAGAGGTATTTTCACATGTATGAATTATTAACTGCGAAATGTTATGTTTATGAAATGCTGTAACATAAAGAGATGAAAAAATTCACAGGTCGCACTTACTGCAGTTTTTTCGCTCTGAATAAATATACTTACGATCTTCCAATACATAAAGTGAAATGTACTTGAAACGAAAACAAGAGTAAAGAATTTCTTCAACATAATGGACTTAATTTCTCTGAGTTGAAATTACTTGCTTATTGTTTTCTGATACGTCGGTTAAAGTCTGATTTCACGAATTTACAAATTATGCATATAAGAGACTTACGGTTTCGTGTTAGAGACTTTCTTCAGTCCAACAGAGGCATTAAAAATGAATTACTACTTCCTTGCAAAATGCTCACATACATCTAATATCCCTTCAGGAATTCTAATAGACTTAGTTAGATATATTTTACACTAATATCTATTTAAATGTTCTTTAAAATTAACATAAAGATTAGTAATAAGTTCTTTTTAATTTAGTTGCAACAAAAGCTACGGTAATTACAATCCTAATAGCTCAAAATTTGAGAATATTTCTTGTTAATTCTTCGTCCGTTGTCAATAAATTTTTCTGATGTGCAAGAAAGTGGAATTAAAATTTAATACATAGTAAGAAGATATATTAAATGAAACAATAATTAGACAGACTATTGGAATAAATTATTTATTTTTTTACCGAAGAATTACAATCAGGACGCATATTGACTAAATATGACTGAATATAAAAGATAATGTTAGGTTTAATATGTAGAACATTATTAATTTGGCTCCACATAGTAAACAACATGGAAGTACTCTTTGTGCCCGTACAGGCGATGGCCAGTATTTCGTTTACCAGAGTTTTATTTCTTTCGATGTGTAACGTAAGCATGAGCCAGTTTTCTTTAGGACGTTATTTATATATATATAGTTCTCGAATCTTAGCTGGACAGCTCTCAAGTATAATAATATTATCTAATGAGACGATTACATGTATTTGCAGTAATAAAATTTTATATCTTTCTAGACAGTTTACTAAGAACTTTAAAATAACACTGCAGTCTTATAACCCTAATTACTATCAGAAAATATTTTGCTCTTTTTTCTTTGTCCAGGTTCTTGTACTCTTCGCTGCCGTTGCAGCTACACAAGCTAGTGGCCTTATTGGAGCCGGATATGGATTGGGAGCTGGCTATGGATATGGAGCTGGCTATGGATACGGAGCTGGATATGGTGTAGCCGCTGCACCAGCCCTTGTTGGAACGGCTGTCGTTCCCGCAGTCTCCTCTTCCAAAACCGCCATCAACCACATCACCCCTGCCGGAATTGCTGCCGCTCCCGTCGCCTTGGCTGCTGCTCCATTGGGTCTTGCTGGACATGGAATAGCCGCCGCTCCTTTAGCTTATGGAAACGGACTGATCGGTAACGGTCTACTCGGTGCCGGTGTTGTAGGCCACGGAATCGCTGCTGCTCCCCTTGCTTATGGCAACGGACTTCTCGGTTTGGGAGCTGGAAAACTTGCCCTTGGAGGGGGACTTGCCAAGCAAATCTTGTAAATATCTTATACTGCGACTTCATTTGTAAATGTCCTGATTTAAATTATTAAACATGTTACAATAAATTACTTGTTCTAACTAAGTTTGGTTTCCTTCATTTGTTTAAAATTTTCATAATGGCATTTTAAAGTTAAAATTTAGCGTATAAAATCTGGTTTTATTTCGAAATTTGCTTTGAAGTAAAAATTGCTTCTAAATTTGATGTACAAATCTTTCTTCTTATTTTAACATTTCTTTTAAAAGAATTATCATCAGTTTAATGTTTATGATCGTATCAAGTTTCGAAGGTCATTTAATTTTTTAATGTAAACAAAGTTTGCTGTATTAGGCAATTTGACATCCAACCATAATCAACCGAAAGGAATAATCAGGTTTTTGCTTCATTTGGGAAACTATTAATATAAAGATTTGAGGTTCATATTTTTGATTCATGGATCAGTGATGATTTGTATGAATTTATCTAGTAGACGTTTATAATGTTGTTATTAAAAAGAAATAAAATCTTATCAACATTTATCAAATAATTAAGAAACGAAATCTAATTTTGATTTCAAAAGATAAATTTCAGCTTTTAATTTCGTCAGTTTTGATTTATAGAAAATGCTTTCAGTGCGGGACGGAAAAGAAAAAAAGGAATTCATCATGCTCGCAAACATTTGGAATTATAAAATGGCTAATAATTGTGTAAATGAAAACATACGTGTTTAGATTTTATTTAAATTTAAAAGTATCAAAATGTATATACATGTAATTTGGTATAATAGTTTAGAGCTTTCTCGTTATTATTTGAATAGTGAGAACTGAATTAAACATGGATTAAAAGATTAAATGGCTTTTGTATCGAAAATGAAGGATTTCTCAACGAAAATTTAAATATTGTTGCAAGAAAAGGAAGATTATGGCCATGTGTATTTAATAAGCAGAATTCGAGAGTTATTGTTGAGCTTTTCTGCTGGCAAAGACCAACAAATAAAATGCAAATATGCTAAATACAGTAAGTAGTACAAAGAAACTAAAATGGTATATGTGCATCAAAATATAAATCAAAATCAATCCACATGCATTTTCCCTCCATTTGCTCGCTTAACATGTATGTGAAATATGAAATACTTTATAACCACATGTAAACTGAAATATCAGAGAGAAAGTAAACAAAAGCCTTGGTGTATTTGCATCTACGTAAGTCACATTTTTATTACTTTTTCCCTTACTTGAAGATTTTGTCAAAAATTTTACTTTAATAATTTAACCTAAAACTTGCTTTTATAAAAGAAAAGGAATCTACCACATGAATAAACTCCAAAAACCTCATTCAACCTGTAGTATTGTTTGGCTCCAACTTGTCAGCAACAGTGGTAGTGACTGCTATGAACTGTAAATTTACACAAACACGTAAGAAGGGTTTAAAGCCCTTTTTATTCCACTTTATAAATAACAGCTGCGTTCACTTGACGCTCAGAAACTACGCCGACCCGGCGGTTTAACAAAAACGGAAATGTGAAACTAAAAATTAATGACAGGATGAATAAACAACTAGATCACTACCTACGAGGCTCTGAAATCGTAACTAACCTAACAGCGTTCTAAAATACAGCTGAGATTCAGCGAGCTTACTGGTTAAGCAGTTGAAAGATTTAGCGAACTGCCGAAATAGGCACACAGGCCGAAACGCGCGATTCTTAAATTTCTACCTAGCAACATTCACGTTAGCGATTCAAGAAGCACACTTACAAAATCGTTTCCCTTCTATTTAAACTCAACTTACTTCTGCTAAAATTTCAATATACTGCGCGTTCTTCTACAATTTACATACTCTGGCATTGGCAATTCTAGGGGAAAGTAAAGGCTTGACAGGAAAGATAGCTTAAAATAAATGTTAGTTAAAATAAATATAAACCCTACAAACCAATGGCATGATAAGATTTAATATCATAATTTATTTTAAACATTTCCGTTAGGAATATGTTCTGTGAGGGATTTACGGCAATATGTTTTCAAACAATATATATGATCATTTCTTTCTCTCCTTTTATTTTTTAAATTTCAGCTATAGAATTTTAAACATTGATTATTTGAACATTTAAAAATATTTGGAAGAGGATCGGGCCAACAAGCAGCCCAGCGATAAAGTCGAAGATCACCGGAGTCTGACTTGGGTTCAGTTCCAGGCGGACGGTCTGGTCACAGGGAATTTTCGTGGCTTTCTCCATGTGCAACATAGATACGAGCCAATTAACTCTTAGAAAGTTCTCCACAAATTACTCCCTCCCCTCACGCATATAGCCATCGCGTGTTTTGTCATAATCAAATTAACCCAACTAAACTATGTTAGCGGACAGCACATAAGACTTTGGCGACATTTGAAGCTTAAATTATATTAATTCCTATTAGTAAAATTACAGGCAATATAATTTGGAACAGCATTTATGATAATTTTCTTTTTTAAATTTTAACGATATGATTAAAAATGTTAAGCATTTGTAAGATAATACGTTTTAAAATATTTGCACGGGGATATTGCATAAGCCTTTGACTATATTTAAAGGTTAAGTTAGGCTAATTGATTAAGGAAATTGGTTTCTGTTGCCATCCCATAGTATGAAAAACATGAAAATTCCGATACAGCCAGGCTCTTCGCTAGCCTGTGAACACAGTTCGAATTATCAGTGTTCTACAATTTTATTCTTTCTGCTGCTGATGAGCGCCGAAAGTGAAATTTGCAAGTTATAGATTAAACAAAAAATTTGCGAATTCGAATTTTGGCGGCTAAGCGTGGTGGCTGCCGCTTTCACGATGGAGTATCAAAATATTAAACATTTGTGGAATTACTAAGTCGGCTTAAAACGTCCTTGCCGTTCTTTATAAGGTTGGCAACACCGTGAAGCCTTTCTCTTTAGTCTCGAGTTAATCTCTCTAGTTCAAAGTTTGAGAACAGAAGATTTTATGTTGTTAACTGCAAGTTTCGGTCATTTTCAAAGCTATTCAATATAAATGTCAAGTACAGAAAAATAAATACTTTCGACATTCGTTTGATCGAGGATTTAGTGCTGCAGAAGTCACTAGAAGAATTTATGGTGTGGGAATTGGCAGAAAATTGTGAAACTGGCAAACATTATGGAATGCGATATCATAACCAATGTGCACCATCTGCATTCATTGGATAAGGAAAGGCAGGAGAGGCATTGAACCCCTATCTGAACACGGTAGGTGGACATTAATAAAGATGGTGATTACATCACTGAGTGAATGAGTGAGTGATTATTATGATGTAGCATATCAATGTCTTGTTACTGTGTATTATTTCGCAGTGTATTGTAGTGTATTTTATAACAATGAAATCATAGCATGACAAAAATGGCACGGATTTATGCAATATGTATTTCAAAGTATTAAATATTAATTAGATGTTATAATTTAAAGCATTAAAAGTATTCAGTCTAGAAGCAAAAAGTATAGCGAATGACTACTTGATGTTTATTTGCGATGTAATGTTATTAATATCTATAGTTTTTTTTCCTTTTTAGCCTATTTTCGGGCTATTCTTTTTTTTTTCCTTTCAAAAAACATTTACCGTATATACCCGCGTATAAGTCGATACCGAGCAAAGTCAACCCCCCCAGTTCGTCATAAAAAATTCGTAGAAAACAAGAAATCCGCATATAAGTCGACCCCCCCCCCCACACTTCCAAAATCAATCGAGAAACTTCGAAAAAAAATTTTAAGTGCTACATTTATTCAAAATCATCTGAGAAAAAAAAGTAAATATACGATAAAAAATACCTTGGTAAATAAACAAAATCAAAATACTTGAACGTCAGATTCATGGTCAGATTCGGCAAACATTTCATAGAACTCTTCTGTCGTTATTGGCTCGTCATTATACATATTTTCAGTCTCGAACTCTGTGTTGTTACAATCACTACTAGAGCCTTCGTCGTCATTTTCACTTTCAAAAACAGTATCATCTTCCGTGCCGTGTAGTTCGTTGCTAATAGAACATTTTTTAAATGATTTTATAATATTTTCAGAGGGTATTTAGTTCCAAGCATCTTTAACCCACTGAGAAATTAATGTAATATCGGGCTTTTTAATGCTGTCTCCCTTTGTAAATGTTGGTCGAACGGAACTAATCCACTCTGCCCAATATTTTCTAACATTTAATTTGAAGGGCTTATTGAGGCAGACATCTAGGGGTTGAATGACGGATGTCAATCCTCCCGGAATTACGGCCACGAAAAGAATCGTATACTAAAAGAGAAGGTTTTTTGAAAGCTGCTCCCGGTCTTTTATCCCACACATTTTTAAGCCAATCGATTGTTCCGTCAGCATCCATCCATCCCTTTTCATGGGCGTGAACCAGCACACCTGATGGAAACACAACGTTTTTCGGTAAAGTTTTTCTTTTAAAAATGATCACCGGACGAAGCTTACTGCCGTACTTCAAGTAAGTGACTTATTTGACAAGTCGTCCAACTTGAGTGCGGGAAGAAAACACCTGCATTATATAAAGAAATTTTTGAACTTCCGATTCTTTTAATTTTTTATGGCCCCGCGTATAAGTCGATCCCCCCCCACTTTGAAGTCTTTTTTTTGTCCAAAATATCTCGACTTATACGCGGGTATATACGGTATAAAGTTCTTCATGTCACCACTTTTTATAGCACTTATAAAGTTTTTCAGTTATTAGCTCTTTTTATACTTTTCTGTCATTAATTATTTAAAGGTTGATATTTTTCTAAATTAACCTTAATGCGTTTTTGATCTTCAGGCTGGAACATTGACATTTAATACTTTCAAACGCCCATTTCTTTGAAATTCCTGCTTGAACTGCTTCAGCTCAAAAGGCCTGATAAGTTAATCAAGGAATCCTTAACTTCATTTCTTTCGATATCTATCCTCTAGGGGCCCCATGGGCACTTTCCATTCCATTTATGTTTGATTTTTCGAAACACCAGTTTTCGCTGTGTCATAGTAGTCAGCTTCTATGAACTTAAGTTCATCAATAGGATTGAAACAATAATCTACATTTTTCAGGGACGGCTCCAAGCATAGGGGAACTAAATAGCCATTTAGGACTTCTAT